TGATTGTAACAATCGGAAAGTTCGTCTGATCAGATCATAGAAAACCTACTCCATAACAGCCTTTTGAATGAACAATTCAGTTATTCCCAATTTGTTAGTTACAGTCTCTTACACTCAGCCACTTTTGGCTTGATCTTGTATAATTATTATTCGTTTTATTATGTGACATTATCTGGTCTGCTTATGTATAAACCAACTATGTCTGAAATATACGATTCGTACAATATAAGCTGGGATTGTGTTCTGGACTCAGATGGATAGGGCTAGACGAGAAGAACGAATAAGGACTCCGAGTTGACTCTAGGCTGCTCGTCCTGCTTAACGCATCATCGGTTCGGCACAATGCCGAGATCATATAAGGCAGTATTCTAATTTGGTAATTAACAGGGCAAAAGTTATAGCAGCAACAAGTTGTTTGGGGAAGAGATTTTATCAATAATTAACAGTAAACAACTGAATGGCTAATTCCACTCTGTTTCATCATCTATTTACTGATGTACACCGACCTCTGTGTTACTGTCAAGAAAATAATCAATAGCATATCGGACCGAAATCATATCATGATTTGTCAGTTGTTATCCTTTTTCTAACACCTTATACCGTTCTTATCAAGTAATACAGACCTACAAGTTCAAAATAATAAAATAATAATGTTCCAGAGTGAACATCAACTCTGAGATGCAGGTACATCCAGCTGACGAGTCCCGAACAGGACGAAACGCGCGTCCTGGATTCCACTGCTAGACACTATCCATCTTTGCTTATAATTATGCCTTCCGTTTGAAGAACCAATGATATGACAGTTGAGCACCCTCAGATCCGAAATATGATATATCGTAAGCTGATTTGAATAAAGAAATGCAAGTATTCCTCTAGGTGTCGAGGTGAGACCCGATCAATCGGGATACCGATAAGTTAAGCATCAAAATTTGATAAAAAGAACACCGGTGAACACCTGATAAGCACACCATGCTTTCAAATTCAAAATTACAACAACAAAAATTACCCGATCTTTGCTTTCTACCTTAACTTCGAAAGTTGATCCTTTTCTGTGACAAAAATCGCTACTGCTGGCCATTTACAATTAATACCCCCCCTCAACGCTCTGGTACAGTCGAGTCAGGTCTTCCTCTTGAAATGCTCTCACATGGTCACGCATATACAACCACTGACAGGGAAGTCCTACTCACTGCCTTCTCGTGGCATTACTATTGTTTACGAAGCTTTAACCGGGTTGATGGATATGGAGGATCCACCTGGGGGAGTTGAAGTATCCTGATTCCAAATCAATGATGTACATGGGCTCCATGATCCTAAGGAAATAAATGGCGAATAAACCTCTTTTTTGTGACCGGTTACCATGACGTTGCTCCACTGCCTTGTGGATTGGACCTGTAGATCGAGGAGTGTCCCCTTAAGAAAACCACCTGTTTCGGTTTGGGCACCCGGACAGTATTCCGGCCCTCATACAAATCGAATAATAAAGTGTGGCGCATACATATTTGTTGCTTCCTTATACCAATGTTTGTGCGTTTAATTAAATAAAATTTACAATTATTGCAATCATATATGAAGGCAAATATTATGTGCCTAAAACGGGTCACTTCATTTCTTTGATGATCAGTTAATCATAAACACTGATTTATATGTAAATTTCAAGCAAACTTATAATCTAAATTCGCATATGTGCATCCTGTGCGGTCTATCTCGATATAGCCTTAAGTTACTAGCTTTTATAAGCAAAGATGGATAGTGGCTAGCAGTGGAATTTAGTTTGATGCGTGTTTCGTACTATCTGAAACTCGTCAGCTGGATATACCTGCATCACAGAGTTGATACTCACTCTCGGACTCGAAGTGAGAAAAGTATTTACTTTGAAGAAATGACTTACATTAAGTTGCAAAACTTTAGCAAATTTCATTTTCTGCCTATTTGGATATGAGAAATACATTATTAGTTTTGTGATGAACAATTTACCGAAGATCAGTTTATTTGAATATATCAAGTTAAACCATGGTAATGATATTCACAAATACACACTTAGTTATGATGAAATTGTGATATAACTGGATTTTGATATTTATCGAATATTCTAGAATTCCAAAAAAGCTATGCCAATTATACAAGTCAAATAGAAGTTCATAAAATTGACTGTGTCATGAAATTGATCTCTATATCTACATTGAGGGATTCCTATATTGTTTCTAACGATGAAACTTCATTATAATTGTGAATAAATGTCTTAAAATAGGAATGTGCATAGTTATATCAACTTTCAGGAGGGAATATCCTGATATCACACGAATGGAAACGCTAGCTCAAAGTCATATCTAATGACTAAATAATAATACATACTTATATCAAACTAACTAGTAGAAAGTTCTTGATAGCATGGACAGAACAACACTAAGGATGCTTCTTCGACACTACGGCGTACCTGAAAAGATAGTTAATATCATACGGAATTCGTATGATGGATTAAACTGCCAAATAGTGCATGGAGGATAGCTCACAGACTAGTTCGAAGTAAAGACCGCTGTCAGGCAAGGTTGCATACTCAACCCTTTCTCTTTCTCCTAGTGATCATGAAGACTTCAACATCTGAAGGAAAGCATGGGATACAGTGGAGAGCTAGAATGCAGCTGGATGATCTAGACTTCGCAGATGATCTGGCTCTTCTATCGTACACGCGACAACAAATGCAGGAGAAAGTAAGTAGGTAGGTATAATAAAATATTCATTACATTCGAAAGTAACCAAAACTTCTCAACAAAGAGGGCTTTATTGCTAATCGGCAATACTATTTTTCAGTTTTAAATACAGACAGATTTTGTTGACGATTGAATTTACATCCTGAATGACTTCAATATTCGTTGAACGGAATATATTTCGGTCATTTCTAGTTTGTATAAATTACCGATAGATATTTTGTCTACTTTGATGGTACAGAATGATTACTGTTTGATAGTGTATTTCAAGTTTCATTGTCAAATTACCGTATCTCAAATAATAAAGTAAAAAAGATATCAACATTTCCGGCTACATACAATCAACAATATGATAAGCACATTGAACAATTCTTAGATAAACTATAATAGTATAAGGGAAAGGAAAAACTAACGAGATTCTGCAAAAAGAAAAAAATTGCCACTTTTTGATTGGCAGTCAGTCAGCAACAACGTAGAACTGCGTACGTACGTACGTACGTACATCAGTTCGAGTTGCCATACCACATTAGCATAGAGATGCAGTTGTCGATTCAAATTCCATAGTGGTAAAGGTAGTAAAAGTATAAGCAGTAATCGGAAAGATTAGGGTTTGAATATGTTATTCAAGGAGTATAATCTAGTGAAATAAATTTGGTAAGAGAGAAAATAAGGGACAATAAGAATTCAAAAGATTAGAAATTAGGGAAAACACGAAGAATGGATGCATCTGCACCATTGCAAACGATTTTAAGCCATATCATTCAAGGTCTCTAACCAACAGTTGCTAATTAATTAATGTAAATTTAAGTTACCTCCCCTTCTCCCAATGCTGATCTATCATTGACTACAAAACGGTTGTAACAGTATTAAAAATTAGTACTATTCAATTATTGACTAATAAAATGAACTTAGCTTACTTACTTATGCCTGTTACTCCTCGTGAAGGAGCATAGGCTGCTCACTAGCATTCTCCATCCAACCCTGTACTGGGCAATCCCTTCCAGCTCCTTCCAGTTCCTATTCATCCTTTTCATATCTGCTTCTATTTCTCGATGTACTGTGTTCTTTGGCCTTCCTCTTTTCCGCTTCCCTTTAGGATTCCCAGTTGGGGCTTACCTCGTGATGCAGTTTGATGATTTCCTCAATGTATGTCCTATCCACTTCCAACGTCTTTTCCTAATTTCCACTTCAGCTGGAAGCTGGTTTGTCCTCTCCCACAGAAGGCTGTTGCTGATGGTGTCCGGCCAATGGATGTTGAGTATCTTGCGTAGACAACTATTTATAAATACTTGCACCTTCTTGATGGTGGTTGTAGTAGTTCTCCAAGTTTCAGCATTGAAGATTCTCACTATGATATTGGTTGAAAGTTGTTTTGAGTTCCATATGTTAATCAATTGTAGGAATGCGACTCTTGCTTTGCCGATTCTCGCATTTACGTCTACACCTGATCCTCCTTGTTCATCGATGATGCTTCACAGGTATGTGAAGGATTCTACATCTTCCAGAGTTTCTCCATCAAGTGTGATTGGGTTGCTGTTCTCCGTGTTGTATATGAGGACCTTGATTTTCCCGTTATGTGTATTGAGGCCTACTGATGCAGAGACTGCTGCTACATTGGCTGTCTTTATCTGCATTTGCTCGTGTATATCGGATAGGAGGGTTAGGTCATCTGCGAAGTCCAAAACGTCTAATTGGTTCTGAGCTGTCCATTGTATTCCGTGTTTTTCCTCAGATGTCGAGGTCTTCATAATTCAGTCGACATCTGAGGAAAAACACGGCATACAATGGACAGCTCAGAACCAATTAGACGATCAATCATTTACTAATGAAAATGAACTTAGATCACTTTTAAATTTTTAGTTAATAGAAAAAACAGTTCAATATTAAAGGTTTCTGGATAGAATTCCAACATTTAATTTACAAGCATCATGACTATAGTTCCAGATATCACTTACGCCTGTTACTCTCAATAGAATATAGGTCACCGATACCATTTATTATCGAATAAAACATAATCATGAATCCTATGTAGGAATTCCTTTCATGAATGACTTTATTTAACCTAATATGTTTCACATATTTTCATCGAAAACGGAAACCTTATCATTGTAAGCAAAGATGGATAGTGGCTAGCAGTGGAATCCAGGACGCGCGTTTCGTCCTGTTTGGGACTCGTCAGCTGGATGTACCTGCATCTCAGAGTTGATGTTCACTCTGGGACTCGAACTCAGTACCGTTCGCTTCAAACGCCAAAAAACATCAATGGGAAGATTCAAATAAAACAATATCAAGTGAAGGAAACCTTATCAGTTTAAATCATAATAAACAAACAAACAACAACAACATGGAAACACACTTTAGAATTTCATTATAAGAGAACACAACTATATTAATATATATATGTATGTGTGTGTGTGTGTACAGGTGAATTCCCATCGTGTATCCGATATAGTGATTATGCATTGGACAGTTGAAAGATGAGTAAAATTATATTATTGGGAAGAGAGAAATAAAATATATATATAGTGGAACTGATCAATTCACTCTTAAATGTTAAACAAATGTAAAGATTTAGTCGATTAGGTGTTCAAGTATAGAATTCCTAACTGTTTTCCTTTCACTCTTATAGAACCAAGCTGGAATATGTTCCCGTATCCGAGTTGAAAGCGAGCTCTAGCTACGGCCAATGGGAAAAGGAGGAGAATAAGAGTTACCATATACCAACACACACACGCACACACACATACAAACAAACAAACACATACACACACAGAGAAACATATAGTTGTTTATTGAACAGAAAATTTATTTAATTATTTATTTATTAATAGGTATTAATAATAAGCTTGTAAATGAGCAAACACGTATATAAATACATTTAATGAAATGACAGAGATAGACTAGTTATTTTCATCAAAGTAATCAGAGTATAGATTACTCTGATGAACACAATAAGATGTATCCACTCAGTGATGTCATCATCATCATCATCATCTTCTCTTTCTTCGTTTCTATCGAATTATTACTTGATGCATATAGGTGTATAAACTAGAATGTGAGAAAGAGAGAACAATGAAATATGTATATAATTAATAAAGATGAATAGGATTGAAAAAAATTCAAAATAAAGAATTACACTATTCACAATAAGATGATAGTGACGATAGGAACAAAAACAACAACCATAACAACAGTAGAAGCAGCAGCAGTAGTAGTAGTATTCTTCTTAGAGATTGATTGAAATAAAACAACGATGATGATGATGATGATTGTTAGGATAGTGATTAGGAGAAGAAGAAAAAAAACATAAAATGAAAACGATAAGATCTTGTAAACATTAAAAGATCTACACTCATATGTACATATAGAATGTTTTAAAAAGAGATAGATTAGTGATAAGGAGAGAGAGAGAGAAGAAGGAAGATTAAAACAAGATCTATAAACATGAAACAAAATAGAATATTCTTGAAGATATAAATCTCTAAGAGGTAAAGATAGAATTGATGATATTCATAATATGAAGAAGATTGATATGATAGAAGAAGAATAATTAGAACAAAATGATGAAGACTGGAAACAATTATTCGATGAAAGCAAGTTATCAGAAACAAATATATGTATATAAACAACTCTTCATATATTCATTTAATGATGACAATAGTAATCCATGAATAAAATTGAGGTAGATCATATGTGTTTATATATATAGTTTAATTGAATAATGTATTTATCATTTTGTAATACCTATCTGAATACAATGCACTGGTATATAAATGTAGTAGGAATGAAATGAGTATAACCCCATATATGCTTCACATATATATATATATGGTAACAGTTTAGTGTAACATCAAACATTATTTAAATAGAATGAGGTAGATGAATGAATAATATCAGTCAAAGCAACAACAATAAAAACATGAAAATAAATGTGATTTTTTTTAAAAAAAAAGAGGGGGGGGAGAGGAATAAAGGATCATGCACCATTGAAATACCAATTAATCATAGTAGTTGTTTTAAAGTTATTCAATGAATTGTTACTAAGGGATCCAATATTCTATTGACTATCATAATTGGTAGTGGTACTGTTATTAATATGACCGTTATTATTATTATTATTGCTATTCAATGAGAATAATGTCATTGATACATTATGAACAAATTCCATAGTAGGTTTAAGTTCTTTTGGTTGTAAATCTCGAGGAATCTATAAATGAATACAATGAAGAAAAGATAAAAAGAAGATAATTTAAGTAGTGTAAACAAAGTTCAATTTATGTTAAAATAGTCATTAAATAAAGGATAAAAACCATAGTAACAACTGAATCAACAATGTCCTCAAGGTGAAATGAAAAATTTATTTACTTGAACACATATACGTCACACAAGTCACTTGATTTGCGTGTGGGTTGTGATACTACCTGAGTGACCAAACAGAAACAAATGGTTTTTTTTTAAGGAATCACAACCGGAGCCTTTGACCTATAGGTCTGATCCACAAGGTAGTGAAGCAACGTCGGGAAATGCAGTCTCATGGCAGCCGGTGACCAATAATTGGTTCATAAGCCATTTGTTAACTCAGGATCATGGAGCCCATGTGCAAAATTGATGTGGAATCAGGATTTTTCCAACTCTCCTAGGTGGATCCTTTATATCCACTAACCCGGTTGAAATGCCGAACATCCTCGTTTCGTCGTCTCAATTTCGTACTCAACAGTAATGCCGCGAGAAGGCAGTGAGTAGGATTTCCCTCGCAGTGGTTTCAATGAAACTAATCTGCATAATCCCTCCCTATCATGGCCACTATCATTATCTTCTTTCTTTATCGATTTAATTACATGATATTAATAGATTTCTGTATGTATCCGAATTGTGCTTAGTAGTTTCAGATACAGTAAAACACACATAATGTGACCTTTTTATTATTTACGGGGATTTTTTTCCCCTTCAAGTTGTCATGTTTTATAATTAAGCATCATATTAAAGGTTGTTTCACATAGCTACAAAATATAAATCAGTGTATAAAATTTATTACTTATATTTAAAGATTAGATTATACAACAATTGATTGGGTAGTTTTTAGTAAAATGAATAAAGAGAATGACATTTATTTTAGAAGAGCATGGAAACATGAGTAAACCTTTTTGTCTTGAGATTTTAACTCAGTGATAAAAAACACAGAGGGGGGATTCATATGTAAAATGTTTAAAAATACAAACTAAACCCTAGTGGATTTACTCTTTAACATATAAAATCTCAATGTTTGAGATCATAAGTCAAGTGAAGCTAGACCACAATGGAAAACCTGGAAACACTGGACAGCCGTTTCATCCTTATATGAAAGTCCTCAGCAGTGCATATCCACGATCCACCTCACGTGATTAGAAACCAGGACCAATCGACCTCGCGCGCAAACGCTTAACCTCTAGACCAATGAGATGGGCGGCATCCAATGGTGTTGGTATCTAACTTCAACCATCTTCCATTGTACTGAGGTACATACCTGTCTCTACCCGACACGGATTGACCCCAATGATGACGGCTTCTAATTAGAACTCCGAGAATTCCCTCACGAAACCAGTCACTATTAAGGACATGGTAATTATCAGTATGCGGGTGTGGAGACTATTAAGTTTTTGATGAGCCGATTGATGTTAGACCAACATTGAAAACCTGTAAGAAAAATCTTAATAATCTTCACAACCTCATACTGATAATTTTTATTAAGTTGAATATTATTATTGATACTCGCTTCCATATATTATATGTAAAGGTTACAACCTTACAACGGAATCTACAATCATTATTATTATTCGAGTTTAGCGGAATCAAAAAATGAGTCTAGCTGAGATCGAATCATGACTTCAACTACAGTCTCTACAAATCCCCCATTCTGATCATTAAGGAATAGTAAAACGCATAACAATAGTTAATAGGTCCACTGGAATGTTGCAATAAGGAGAATATAGAAACCTAATGCAGCTATCTACTAATTATACAACGAAAATAATAATAATTTTTAAAAAACTGTCCAAATGTTCTAACTTCCCCAGTATTCGTCTCTTCGTAACACTAATCACTAGGATATAACAAGGTTAGATACTAACGACGCTGAACGCCGGTCATTTCAGTGGTCTAGAGGTTAGGCGTTCGCGCGCGAGACCGATAGGTCCTGGTTTCTAATATCGCGGAGTGGGATCGTGAATGCGCAGTGCTGTGGATTTTCATACTAAGACGAAACCGCTGTCCAGTGACTCCATGTTTTCCATTGTGGTCTAGCTTCAATCGACTCATGATCTCAACCATTGAAATTACTACCATGTCTACAAAACCTTTCTGATAATATAAAATTGATGAAGCTCGATCGGACAGTAAGTCGATATCTGTTAATTTTCCATACGAACCCAAATACCCAATGCTTTTAATGTATAGTCAAATAGATGTTGTCATCTGTTAATACTATTTGATCATTGTTTTATAATTAATAAAATAAATAGATACTATATCACATTGTATTGTTATTGTTAATATGATAATAGTAACCCTCCTACAATCAATTTTGATTATGGTTAAATATTGGTTAAACCCTCTTATATTGACTTAATAGATAATTTTATTTGGATAGTAACAATTCGTCTATTTCTTTGTACTATTATAATCACTAGGTCATATGACAAACTTTAGCTAAAATGTTGTTCGGTTAAATATCACTCAGTGATTCATTCACCCCCTTGTTCGCTCCCTTATGCATATGTAATTACTTGTATATGCATATTCGTCTCTTCGCTTCAAATTCACTTGATGTGCATATAGCTTTACAATCTGCGCTATCCGCTAATAAACTGTAGTTGCCCCCAAATGCCCCGGTATGGCCGAGAGTGGGGAGAGTCCGCTCTCCCTCTCGAAATGCTCTCACACGGCCACGCGTATATAGCCTCTGCCAGGGAAGTCCTACTCACTGCCTTCTCGTGGCGGAGGTGTTGTTTACGAAAATGAGAGGACGAAAAGCGAATGTCCGGCACTTTAACCGGATTCAAAACCAATGGTGCGGGAACAAATGGCGTATGAACCAATTGCTGGTCACCGGCTTCCATGGGACTGCATCTCCCTACGATGCTCCACTGCCTTGTGGATCAGACCATTAGGTCAAAGGCTTGGGGAGTGGCCCCTTAAGAAAACCACCTGCTTCGGTCTGGGCACCCGGGCAGTATCATAGCCCTCACACATATCGAATGAGATTTGTGTGGTGCACATGTATTTGGTGCCTTTTAAATACCATTGAGAATTTATAGTATAATAACAGTTATCGAAGTGATTGATGAATGATACAAAACCATTATAATGACATAATATCATATCAGATTATTATCATTATCAAAGCTAAGCATAAATAAGACATACGTAGAAGTTATAACTTAGTATCAAAATAGATCAAACAGGTCAAGGTTGAAATATGACACTTCATTTAAAGTAATTATACAGTGACAATAATATGAAAAGTGAAAAAGAGACATACAAAGAGAAAGAGAACAACAAGTGAGATTTCAAAAACACAAAGCATCTAATAAAACGCTTTGTTTAAACTTTTTTATTAAAAACAAACAAATATATTGTTGATTGTGAATAGAGAACAAATTCATAATAACAAAGAATAGAAGAACAAAAGGTCAAGAGGATTTATTGATTTTTTTTTAAAAAAAGTAGGTCAACCAAACATACACATATCAATGATGGACAATGGATCAATTTTGTGGATTAGTTGAAGTTAGAATATTAACACGGTCGGATGCCGGCCAGCTCAGTAGTCTAGAGGTTATAAGCGTTCGTGAGCGAGACCGATAGTTTATTAGGAAAAGTTTTATAGAAAAATAAAAGGTCAATAAATACATACAATAATAATTGTAAGTAACACTAAAAGGATATGACTTGATCGTTTCAAAACAAACTGAACATTAGGTAAATAGATTATAATGATAGAAGTATATTTAATAGTTGAATTCATGAGTCAATTGAAGCTAGACCATCATGGAAAACCTCGAAGCACTAGACAGCTGTTTTGTCCTAATATGAGACTACTCAGCAATGCGCTTCCACGATCGCGCTCCGCAAAATTAGAAACAAGAAACTATCGGTCTCGCGATCGAACGTTTAACCACTAGACTACTGAGATGGCTGGCATTCAATTGTGTTAATGTCTAAATTCAACCAATCCACGAAATTGAGCGACATATCGATCATTGTCTTCAATGAATTACTATCTCACAATTCCACTGGTCACTGCTTCTTACTAGAACTCCAGGAAATACCTCTAGAAGCCAATCACTAGTGAGCATATGTTGATTAATATCAGACGAGCTTTTTTGTGGATATTATAATAATTTCAGTAGTTGAAATCATGAGTCAATTAAAAGCAAGATCACCATGATAAACCTGGAATTAGTGGACAGTCGTTTCGTTTTATTGTGTGACTACTCCTCCTCAGAAATGCGCATCCACGATCTCCCCTGATGAATGAGATTCGACCTATTAAAATTACTATCATATCCAACAAAATCCCCCCTTCTGATATTAATTATCATTATTATTATTATATAGTACAAATTATTTTATTTTAAAAATGGTTTGTTTTATCTCCAACATCATAAACATACAATCTGAAAAAACAAACGGTACCACAGTTTATCGTATAAAGTATTCAGGCAAATTATTATTAAACATATACATATTAGAAAAACAAGCGGCTATTATGATCCAACATCAAAGTATGTAAATTTTACATTCATGTTATATAAATGAATATACCGATATACTAATAATACGTTGTTCTTGTTGTTGTTGTTGTTGTTTTTATCAGTATTATTCGTTTTGTATCTATGTATGTATATAATTATTACTATTACCAAAACGGTAACAATATTAAGAACTGATTACCATAATAATAATAATAATAATAATAATAATAATAATAATAATAATAATAATAATAATAATAATAATAAAGTCATCATAAGTACACATTCACACTTATTATTATCTTCAAGTTGTACTTCACCTGGAGGAATTTTTATTCACAATATACCGGCTAATAAGTTGTAAGGATAAAAGAGGTTAGTGATATTGATGGTGGCGGTGATGGAAGGGTAGGTGGATTTATGTATATATATATATATAGAGAGAGAGAGAAATGGGTGAGTTTTAAATAGGGGT